ACCGTGGCCCCTGCCTGCTGTGACTGGGAGAGTGACCTATGACACCTGTTTGGCTGTGTGCACAGCCTTCTCTTCCTAGTTAATGTGTATTCTCTCCCCCAGTTAGTAACTATACCCAATTAGCAACTCTGGAACCCCAAAGTATTGCTCACATGGTGTGCTTTATTTTTGCTTCACATTAAAATTTACATACTAGAATTGATTAACTCTGAAGACAAAATAGGAAAGTGGATGGTAAGATACTGATAAACCACCCTGTCTCTCAGTCATCGGTAAAATTCTGGAGAAACAAAACCTAATTTCTTATAAGTGAACACAAGATTCCAAGTTTGTCTATAAAATTAAATAATTAATGTCAGTTGCTGTTAATCTTTAGGCTATCACCTTTGTTAAATTTGTGGCTGTCCATTTATACTTCTGGGATACTATGCTAAAGTATTAAAAAGGCCAAATGGTAATATAAAAAAGCCAATGGAATCCCATCAAAGTTGTGATTAGCCAAATAACTAAAAATCTTTCTGTTAGTTCCTTTTAATGGATTTGGGTAGAGAGAAATCCTGATTATTATAACATCTTTCTCACAGTATTAATCACCACAGCTGACCCTACATTTAAATATAACCCCAAAATGAAGTTATTCAGATTACATTTTATTTTGCCAGAGGCATAGAATTTTGAAAGTATGCTTTTCTCTTCCATCTCTTCCTTGTTACTATTACTAAGTAATTATGTGAGTCAAAATTGCTGCAAGTCAATTTTTCTTTTTTTATCCTCATCTGAGGATATTTATTATTATTATTATTATTATTATTATTATTATTATTATTGATTTTAGAGAGAGGGGAAGAAGAGAGAGAGAGATATATGAATGTGAGAGAGAAACATCAATCGGTTTCTTCCCATATGTGCCCCAACCAGGGATCAAACCAGCAATCTGTATATGTGCCCTTACTGGAAATTGAACCCACAACCTTTGGATGAATGGGACGACACACCAACCAACTGAGTGACCCAGTCAGGGCAAGTCAATTTTTCTACCTCTGAACTAAAGATAATTAAACCTGCCATTAAGAAGTTTTAGGTAAAGAGTATTGGGGATAGAAGAAAGGAGAGGGAAAGAAGGAAGAAAGAAAAGAAGGGAGGGAGAGGAGGAGGGAGGGAGAGAAGAATTAGGGAAACTAACAGTTATTACCCAAGTACTGGTTATGTTATGCTGATTATTTCTGGGGCTATTGTTTGGTCATCCTGGACTGGTTGCTCCTGATGATGGGCTGGCTTCTTGGACTGTTCACTGCAGATTGTGGGTCAGAATTTTATTTTTATGTGTGATCTAGTCATTGTCTGTGTGCATGTTCAGACTCTTACTCTTCAACTCATCTTCAAGGCTTCTCTAGGAAAATATCTGACATCTAAATACCTAAATGTTAGTTGGTGTTGTTACTTTTTTAAGTACGCTTTTTTTTCTACCTTACTACTTATTGACACAGTAATAACTTTGACATTGTCCTCACCATCAACTTTCAAAATCATGAACTGAAGTCTTTCCAGCTCACTTGTTCAAGAGCCCTTTCCTTGTGACATTAAACCCACTGCCATGTGCCTTTGTTTGACATACATTAGTACCCTCATTTCATTCCCTTCCTTATGCAACTGAGGTGTGCTGTACTTCATTATAATTAGACTAGAGGCCCAGTGCACGAATTTGTGCATGGGTGGGGTCCGGCCGGCCTGGCCCCAGATGGGGCAGATCGGGGCCAGGCCTATCAGGAGGAGGAGACGGTGTGAGGTTGGCCAGCTGGCTGGCCATGATTGGGCCAATTGGCTGACGGGCCCCACCTCTGATTGGGGTGGGGAGGGTTGATCAGGGATCAGCGACTGGGGGAGGGGCCATGGGAGGTTGGCAAGCCATCCCCACCCCCAATTGGTGTGTGTGTAGGCGGGGGGGTGGGGGGGTGGGGGGGGTGGTTGGGAGACAAAGCTGGCTGGGGGAAGGGGCCGCGGGCAGATCAGGGTGGTGGGGCCCATTGGGGGTGGGGCTGTCTGGGGGGAGGGGTTGCAGGAGGTTGGCCAGCTGGGGGGAGGGACTGCAGGAGGTTGGCCATTGGCACCGCCCCCTATTAGGGTAGGGGGAAATCAGGGGCAGGGCTGGCTGGGAGGAGGTGCTGCAGAACAATCAGGGGCGGGGCCGGCCAGGAGGAAGGGTCATGGTGGGGTTGGCTGGCTGCCTCGCCCTCAATAGGGGTGGGAAAGGCCAATCAGGGGCGGGGCTGACTGGGGGAGGGGCCACAGGAGGTTGGCCAGCTGGCCCCACCCCCATCAGGCTGGTTTGCTGGCTGCAGTGGGCGTCATAATGACCAGTCATTCAGGTTGTTACTGCGTTCTGGTCACTGGCTTTTTATATATATATAGACATTTGCAAATATCTTTAATACCTGTGACTCTCCGTCCTTTCTTGGCAGAAACCCAAGCTTCAGTGAATCCAGCCATCCTGTTTGTCCATGCCATCTCATTAGACATACCCAAGGCATGAGTGCATTTGCTCTCCACAGCACAGCTGACTGAGGTTTCGGGGAAGTCCCATGAAGCTGATCAAGTTTAGGTTTCAGGGTCCTCACTTACATGGGCCACTTCTAAGACTCCAAAAGGAATCCTAGCCATATGACTATATAGCCCTATGTTTTTGTAAAATTGTTAAAATTGAATATTTTTAACTAAAATTTGAAATAATACACTTTCCACTCTAAATTCTCCATCATAGTACTAGGAGGTTGGGTGGCAATGGAACAGCCACAAGCACTTTTAGGATTGAGCTAAGGGAAGTTGAGTTGGATATTCATTTGATGTAAGTTTAATAGGATGTGGTTTTTGTGGTTCACAATCACATCTATGTAAAGTTCTTACTAGCCACCCATGTCAACTTACCATGCTATGACACACAGGAACAAGGCCCTAGGTCACACTATGATGTGAATGAATCCTAAGGACTGAGAAGAACATGAGAGGCGAAAAAGAAGTATGTTTTAAGTGACAGTGTCATAAAAATTACTCTGTGAAAATTTATTCAAATATTATAGCTCACACATGAGAAAAATCTTTCTAGGAAATTTTCCATATTTGACAACAATTTTAAACATTTATATATTACCAGTTATGAGTTGTGAAGCTGAAAGGAACTCTTCTAAACTATTGTGATAAAAAAACAACAACAATGTCAATCATCCAGATTAAAGAAACAACTGAATTATCTTTCTGTTATCCCTATAGAAAATATTACAACATTGTTGTCAGATATAGGAGATCCACAAAAGTGTGCAACAAAACTATAGGAAAAAAGTAATACAGAGGTGTGTTGGGTAATTAATTAATATTACTTTTCCCTAGATTTTATCATGTTTATGTGCTTAATTAATAATTTATATTTCAATTTAGTGAATTTGATTTCTTTAAGAGACAGAACAATTCAAATTTTGTGTTTTATGTCAGTTTTCAAGAAAGTTGTCTATTTCATCTAAATTGTTGAATTTGTTGGCAGAAAGTTTGTAATGATGTCTTAACCTTCATCCACAGCGTCTGTAATATTAATCCCTCTTTAATTCCTGGAATGGTGTTTTCTGTTCTCTTTATTTTTGTCTTGAGCAATCTAATGAAGTGTTATTCAGTTTGGGGATATTTTCTAAGAAACAAGTTTTAGCTTTGCTTACATTCTCTGATTTTGTTTGCTTCTTTTCTATTTCATTGATTTCTGCTTTTATATTTATTATTTACTTTATTATTACGTATGTTTGGTTTGCTTTGTTCTTTTAAAAAAGCATTTAGGGTAATGGAATAAGAAATTATTTTTAGACAACTCTTTTGCAATATAAGAATTTAACGTTATAAATTTCCTTCAAAGTACTGTTTCATTGCATCCCACACATTTTGATATGTTAAAATTTTATTACCATTTAGTTTAAGGTATTTCACAATTTCCCTTATAATTTTGACTACTTTTGCTATTAGTGTGAGGCACAAGTAAACCACATGCCCTACTTTTACAGCCACATTTTAGTAATTAAATGTATTGATATATAGGCAGCTTTGGCACAAATTTCTAATCATATCATGTGGAAAGAAGGATATAGGAGGAGAGATCATGCTCATATTTAGTAAATCCTTCATTAGTAATAATTTGAGTTTTTATTTGTTGCTTGCAGTTCTTAGGCAACTTTGATGAACTTGCAATAAGGCAAGTACAAAAATCTAGAAAACAATACAAGACAATTTTGTGAATATCGATTTTAAATCAAAGGAATTCTTTGCTGGAAGATTTATCTCTGTGGATTCAGAACAAGAACTACTCTAGGCTCATAGACAGGATGATTAGAAATGGTGGGATAATGGATAATGCTGTTTCTTTAAATATTTTTGTTAGCCCTGATTATCCCCAACTCTCCTCAAATGATTACTTTTTCCCCTCTTCTGGTATTTCTTTACTGTTTATATACAGAAAAAGAAAGTATGAGAAAATTATATGGTTTGATATCCAAACTCTTTCACAATCTGGTCAGAATATACCTCTTCATTTTTAATATATTTCCATACATTTTCTGTTACAGCTCCCTTAATTTACTTCTTTACCCATTGACTCAAGTATTACCCTATTCTCTCCTGTTTATTTTATTGTTGCTGCTGTTCACTATAGAGACCTTAGTTATCATTCCCTTTTTCTTAATTATTTTATGTAGTCACTGTTTTTACACTTAGCAATTACAGCCATTATTAACTTTAAATTACATTTATTATATAACATATACATTTACATTCCATTAAATAGCTGTTATTTAATGTATGTGTCTTTAATATTTTGCCCAAGATTTCTTTGCAGTCTCGGTATCTAGCACACCGAAGTGTTCAAAAAATGTTTCATGTGGTTACAGATGATGATGAACGTTATGGATTGCAAATCACCTTTGAGCAATGGTGGTTCATATGACACCTGTTTATTTTTCTTTATTTTATAGGTACATTTAGAGAAGAACAGAAATGCACATACCGATCCCTGATACAAGGCTACATCTGCAAAGAGACTGACCAAGTGATCTTAATTCTTGACATTGTTAATGCCACTTGGGCAGTGAGGAAGTTATATCCTGTTGTTTCTGTGACTAGTGGTTTTGTTGACACCTTCAGTAGTGTAAATGACAATACTTCCTGCTCTACTTCAGGGCCTGTATCCACTTTCTATTCCATTTTACCCACCAGGGAAATCACCAAGGTCTGCTTTGTGGATCAGACTCCTCACGTTTTGCGTTTTTTTCTATTGGGGAACAAAAGTACCTCCAAACTTCTGTTGGCTGTATTCTACCATGAACTCCAGAGCCCCCGTGTTTTCTTAGGGGAAAGTTTCATCCCACCTATTCTGGTTCAATCAACTTCCTCATTGCTGGATGAGTCTGTTGGTTCCAACTATTTCAGCATCATGGATAACCTCTTGTACGTTGTCCTACAAGGAGAGGAGCTGGTTGAAATACGCTCAGGTGTTTCCATTCATTTGGCCTTCACTGTGCTGTTTTCAGTCCTAGAAGAAGGCTGGGAAATGGTGACCCTTGAAAGACTAACTGAATTCTTACAGATTAGCCGAGACCAAATTAGATTTATTTATGATATGCCTGGCAATGAAGCAACCTTAAAGGCCATTGCTGACCGTGGAGCAAAAAGAAAGCGCAATTGCCCAACTGTACCTTGTGCCAGTTATTATAGAGCTGGTCAACGTAGGCCTCTCATGACGGAAATGAACTCATACAGGGTTCCCCCACCAACCACCATGGAAACTATGTCAAAAGTGATGGTCATTGAAATTGGTGATCTGCCAACAGTAAGGAGCCCTGGATGGATTCCATCCTTATCAAGCGACAAATTACAGAATTTGGCTCACCAGGTTATCACCGCTCAACAGACTGGAGTACTAGAGAGTATACTGAATATGACTATTGGAGCCTTACTGGTGACTCACTCAGAGGGAGTCATTGGCTGTGGGTAAGTACTAATTATAATAACTCAAATTGGGGCCGATTTCTTGAGTGCATATTGTACATGTCAATCTATTTATACTGAATTATGTAACCTTTCTGTTTCTTTAGGTAAGAATAAAAACTTAAGGAGCCATTTGTAGACTTAAATTCTCAATTTAAAAATTCTTTATTAAAACTATCTATATATTTACGATTATTTTAATCCCTAGCTAGTCAAAGACATTATATTTTGGTACTTTAAAGTGAAAAGCATGTAGGAAGAGATTTTTCTAAAGCCACTTGTTTTCACTTCATTGGATTATTTATTAGTGTAATGAATTTAAGCAGTAGGCTAGATTCTGGGGTGGCTAAGGTGAAACAGATATGAACAAAAATAGGACCTATTACCATGCCATAGAGTTATGAGCTAAAACTTCAGTACTGAGGGAGGAAGATGATAATAATTTTGCCTGTAGGTACTGAGGAAAGACTTATACTTTGGAAAATGTTGGAGTGATGATCAGGAGTTTACTAGGCTGAAGCTATGACCCTGATTGGGCTTTCTTTAATCTAGGATGATAAAGTTCTGAAAGGACACCTTTGTCAAATTGTGGGAGGCAGGAGCATCAATGATGCCAAAGATGTTCTTGGCACAGGCCTGTGTAGGATCTGTAATATACTTTGTGCTGTGTTATTCTGACCCTGTAAGCTTGTATTTTGAAGTTCTCCACTAGATTTCCATTCAATACACATTTCAGAAGTAAATTTACCAGAATGTTTCCCTGATCTTAGTAACTGAAGTCTGTGAAGCACTTATTAAGAAAAGGCAGGGGAACATTACTCTCAATTTTATAGACTACGTTAGCAAAGGAATGAAGTCCAAGTTCATCTAAGGAATCTGCCATGAGGTCAAGACTGTTGGAGTCCCAAGCCCCAATTTTTAGCAGATACAAAAGAACCAGCCTGAGAGACAATATGAACTTGGCATAATGCTTAGAAAAGATACATAAAACTAGCCACCTCACAAAGGCTTGCTGCTTGGCTGTAGAGGGCTCACCTTGAGCAACGTGGGTAGTCCCTATAAACTTGTCCTGCCACTGGAAATACAAGCTCAAACCCATGTACAAGTTGAGGTGATGTTGGGTCCCTGAAATAAGAAACTTATTCAGATTCTGAGCTATATTACTCAGTGACATATGAGAGCACTCATATTCTTATAGATTATGCTGCTGTTACTGCTTTTGCATCTTATGTGTGGTAGTGCTAATGAATAAGCAATTAATACGTAATGGGTATTAATTACTCCTGTACAATCACTCCAATGAATGGGCAAGTTATTCTAAAGTAAAAGGCAAAAAGTAGTATCTTTACATCTGAGGCGTATTCAACTAATACATTGATTGCCTTTTTATACACAGAGCAACATATTTCTACGAAAGCTTAGCTAGTGTTTTTGTGTTATATGCCATGTCTTTACAATGGAGATAGGTGTCCTCTTTCCTACAGTACATTTATATGTATGGAATATATAAAAAGAAAACTCAAGCATTTTTTCTGAATTCTGGTTGATTTGAAGAGTTGGGGAACTGTTGGCTTAGAATTAAAGCATGCTCCTGGTTGCATGATTGTACAAAATCTATTAAATCTTAAAAAGTTTTACCAACCACTAACCCTTCAATATGTTATTAATGTTATTATGATATTATGCATGATAATATAAGAATCAGGAATCTGACAAAATTATGCTAATGCATGCTAGCTTATGTTTAAATATGGTTTCTTTCCTTTAGCCCAATTGCATTTAGATCCCTCTCGGTTCTTCTAGTGTATTAGATGTATGAGTGACTAGAGAGAAAAAGAGCTAGTCCATTGCGAAATTTTATTTAGATTTTACAGCACTGAGCTTTTCTAGTAGGTTGACATTTAACCATGAGTGATTTTTATATTGTATATTTTTAAAAGTCTCAGTGAATATTTAGCGTTTTACTAGGAGGGAAATGCCAAAGAGTAGAAGCAGTGGAAGTATAACGGAGGAAACCCAGCAAAGAGAGCAGACTGAGAACAAGTTTAGGGACATGCACATACTGGTTAGCACGTGTGGACATCATTTTATCCTAAGGATGTGAGATGGCTTCAGAAAAAGATTGCCTTGATTGCCCACAATCTGTTGTAGCCAGTGTGTTTTCACTTTGACTCAGATATTTCTGATTTAATAAGAAACTATGTATATTATTGCATCAGTTTTCTGTAGGGATGTATTCTATCCCCCATTTCTCTCTATTCCTCTAGTATTTTAAGGAAAATATTCTTAAAATTTAGACATAAGGCTAAAAAGCAAATAACATGAAGATAAGGACAGGCTGCTTCTTAAGAATACCTGAATAAATATCTGCAGAATGAGAACTGCTTCATCCTAAGGGATTGAGTGAGAATTAGCAAGGATTCCCATGTTCCTAAGAATTGCACAGTCTGGTAAACAGCCCTGAAGCCTTGTGTAGGCCCCACGGCCGGCCGGTCCTGTTCTTTCAACTTTGATCATACATTAACAACCTAATGAATTGACCCTGCGACAGCAGAAATTAGTCTAGGGACACAGGGCTCTCAGTGAAAAAGCACCACGCACTATTGTTAATGGAATTGATGCATGTCAACAGATTGAGGCCATATCAAATATCTACTTTTCAGGAGGACTATTTCCTGCTTTCAAAAAGCTACCAACGTCTGCTTTGTGGGGAGAAATGGGATGCTATCTGCTTTTTAATTAAACTAATGCACAGCGAAGAATTGGGCTCCCCTGGTGTTTATCCTCTGGAGCAGTGGTTCTCAACCTTCCTAATGCCGCAACCCTTTAATACAGCTCCTCATGTTGTGGTGACCCCCAACCATAACGTTATTTTCGTTGCTACTTCATAACTGTAATTTTGCTGCTGTTATGATTCGTAATGTAAATATCTGATATGCAGGATGTATTTTCATTGTTACAAATTGAACATAATTAAAGCATAGTGATTAATCACAAAAACAATTTGTAATTACATATGTGTTTTCCCATGGTCTTAGGCGACCCCTGTGAAAGGGTCATTCGACCCCCAAAGGGGTCGAGGCCCATAGGTTGGCGACCCACAGGTTGAGAACCGCTGCTCTAGAGGCATCTGAATTTAAGCATCCTCGCTTGGCTTGGTCAGTTCCATGAACGTGTTTCCCATCTTTCAAAACTTTGTTGGCCTCTGTTGTGAGTTGCTCAGTTTTCTCCTGGCTCCTTTATCCTTTTTGATTTACACTATTTTTATTCATTTTTATTATTTTAAGTAATTTCAGTGAAGTAGAGGGAACAGAGATATACCTATGTTCAATCTGCCTGTTTTAAACTAGGTTTTCCCCATGGGGGTCTTAGTTCTATATTTTGTCTTTTATCTGAAATTCTGGAAGGATACATTTTATATTGCTCCTCTTTCTTTTGGTAGCAACTTGATTTTTGCTCTCAAATTTCTTTACCTACTTTCTCTTCTTCTCCCCCCTTCTACTGCTTCATTAAAAAAATTTCTTTGTCATATTGTAAAATGAAATATACTTATTTTTTAGTGGAAGTTTAGCTATTGAAATGCCAAAGCTATTAGTGGTTGACAGAATTTCTAAAGTGACCTCCCATTGATTTGCTAATCCCAGGAACCTATGAATAGGATCAGATTGCAGTTCTGTGAACACACTATGTTACATAGAACAGTTTACCTTGAGGTGCAGAGACTATCCAGGATATGTGGGTGGACCCAATTAAACACACTAGCCCTTAAAGGCGGAGAGCTTTCTCCTGCTGTGGCAAAGAAGAAGGCCCAGAGAGTCACCCTGTGAGAGGACTTGAAGGGTCACTACTTTTAAGATGGAAGGGAACACGTGAGAAAAAAATAGGCGGGCTCCATGAATACGGAGCAGACATTGGCTAATAGCCAGCAAGGAAATAGGGACCTCAATTCTATAATTACAAGGAAATAAACTCTCCCGCAATCTGAATGCATTCGGAAGTGGATTCATCCCCAAAGCTTCCACCCAAGCATTGAATTTAATCAAGCCTCTCTGGGCTCTTAACCCACAACCTAGAGATAGCACATTTGTGTAATGTTAGGGCACCCCATTTGTGTGATTTGTTATGCAGCAATAGAAAACGAATATGCCCGCTCACACAAAGCTCCTTCTCTATGACATTGCCACAAACCTTGGGCCCTGAAACCAGACATACTGAGGGTGAGCATGACACTCTGGGAGTATGTATCTGTATGTTTTTATACCTATCATGTGAACAGCCTTTTAAGTTCCCTTGTTCGGTGTAAGGAGCACGCTATGAAGCTGACTTGAGACAGAGAAGAAAACTAGGAGAGACCATCGGTGAGACGAGTCTATTGGCACTCATTCTCGTTTAACATCTTCTCTAGGCCCCCTGGGCGCCTGCTTTGTAGGAGATAGCTATTTGGAGTTTGCAAAAGCAAAATCTTTCTCTCAATAAGGGGGGATATTCTTCCCAAAACTGGCAGAATTCTCATCCAGGAAGAGATTGCTATACTGGCCAGCTTGTGTCTTTCCTCCTTCATGGCAAAACCATGGCTTCATTGTCAAAGAATGTTTCTGCACCATTTCTTCTCTTCACCACTTTGTTTAGTTAAATGGATGGCAAAATTGTCATAATGGTATTTCATATATGTGGCTTTGTGGGAAAATGAGATGCTCTGCATAAGCAAAATTTCCATTTAATTAAAAATTGCCCTTTTATCACTATATTTTTAAAAAGCTTTAATCTCTTAAACTTAAAAAAAAAAACTACCATATTATCCAGCCTTATTAAATGGAAAATAATGTATATTGTTCACATTTTTATTGAGGGTTCATGGCCATTATCAAAGCTATCATTTATTCTATAGCCCTGTTTCTGCAGTGATGCCCTTAGGGACCATTGTTCTTATACTAAATGTTTGATTCTACTTCTAAACGTTTGATTCTACTTCTGCATATTTTTTTCTGCTACTTTCCTTATAA